CCTCGTTTGTATAGACTGATTGGAAAAACCGTGAAAAATACGCAGCTTTATCCCTACTATCAGCGATCTCAACGCCATCAGTAGTCTTTATCAAGGGGATTTGATGCCTGTTCCTTGTAGTTCGTCGGAGGTAGCTGTAGAACAATTTTGGGTTCTGCGTTGCCTTTTGTAGCAAGTTCTTCTCGAATTCCCGCCGCGTCTGCATTATCAGCTTCCTCACTTTCTTCCTCTGTGTCTTGTAGGTGTTGAAGCATTCAGCTTGTCTAGTGACGCAGTATTTTCTCCACAATTTGTGCTTTCTGTTGATTTCTTTCTTGAGCTTGCTATTTAGCCACCCAGGGCGTTTGTTCAGTCTTACACTAGTCAGTGGGCAGTGGTTGTTGATGAGCTGCAGAAGGACATTCTTGAACAGCTCCCAGTCATCTTTGGCACTTCCCGTAAACAATGAGCCCCAGTCAAGACCGGATAAGTCTGCCCTCATCTGATTGAAGTCGCCCCGCCAAACATTACGCCTTCTGTGGTCTGGCGTATGTGAAATGGAGAATAACGAATAATCCCACATAAGCACTACGTGGTCACTTCGGCCAAGGGGCGGCATGGAGGCGATCTCGTCTATGCTGTCTGGTGTTTTCGTAAAGACCAGATCCAGGCAGTTTGTCCTTTGTCCTTCACGTGTTCTCGTTGGGAACATTACATGTTGTGTGAGGCACGCATTTAATGTTTTGCTCAACAGGCGGCAATCGAATGCTGATTTTGGACCTGACGCTTGGAGGGTATTCCAGTTTGTTCCTGGTGCGTTGAAGTCGCCCACGATCATGATGTTCGGTCGACTGGAAAATTTCTCCAGTTGCTCGAATAGTTGAGTGTCGGCGATATGATCTGTCCTAGGTGGTCGGTAGACAGTGAGGACATCGAGACACGGGGAACCGGTAGCCTTGATGGTCAACCAGATAGCTTCCGTACTACACGCAAACTTGGTGGTGTTATCCGACACTGCCAGACCGTCATTCACATACACAACGATACCACCACCCTGACGACGTTCCCTGTCCCTCCGATAAATTTGGTATCCAGACAAGGCTACTTCGTTATCGCTAATATTCCCAGACAGCCAGGTCTCAGTTACTGCTAAAACATCTGGGGACAGCTCAACAAGGCAAAGTTTTAGTTCGTCTAGTTTCGATAAGAGGCTTTGGGCATTCATTGGTGAAGATGGCCAGTGTACCTTCCACTCTCTTCCGCCGATCCCTTCTCCCGCTCCGTATCGTGAGGTAACGTTTGTACCGCTTCCCTCACTACATCGGCAACCCCCTCAGCCCTTCCCTGCAGTTGCCCCCAGCGCTGCGCTCCACACCGGTTTTCCAGCTGGCATGTTGGCCTCGCCTCTCCACCCAGACAGGTCACTCGACTGTTGTAACTCATCCCGTTTGTACTTTTAACTGTCATTATACTCCTTTGCGATTCCCTTTTCTGTTCATTATATCTCTCGTCCACCGATCGTTTTTTCTTCCTTTATGTATGGATGAGTATCGCGAACTGCTAACAATCGTATTCAGATCAACACAAGCCAGGATCTCTTCCTCGGTATTCCGTTACGTGGTTGTGTGCTACCCTTGACGTCCTCGGCCGCTACATACTTACTGGATCGTAAGGTGAAGAATCTGGCTTTATTTAAATGAACTTCAAAACAAGCCCCAGTTTAAGTTTTCTAATGTTCATGTTCTCTGTAACAAGTTCCGGCAGTTACATGTAACTAGTTAATGCATTAACTAGTATCCGACAGCAAATCCATATCAAGCAACAACGACTTACCGTGAAAAGCCGCGATAGGTATGGCGCTTTGGCCCGGATTTTTGTCCATGCGGTTGCTATCACACTAGTAGCAAACGATATCGAGTAGATATTTACTCGGAAAATAGATATATATCTACTTTCCGAGATACTTATATCGGATAGGTGTCGATTTTGTCCGTCGTTCAGATATCGAGTAAATAACTATTTTTCGAGATACTTCAGGAGCGGCGAAAGCGGGACGTTAGACACTGCGCACGCTGCGTTTACTTACCCCAATACCCGTTCTGTGTTCTGTTATTTTCTAGTTGCCTTTGTCATCCCAGTCCTGGTCTACTTAGCTCGCCGCTGTGCGCGTTACTTGAACGGCCAAATTGACGTGACCATGCCAAAGGTTTTCAATTATTTTGAAGCTTCAAAAATTTCCCAATTAAGCAGTCTAGACTGCTTAATTGGGAAATTTTTATTGGATTAAGTAGTTCGAAAAAAGTTAGTACATTGCTGACGCTTGCGAGGATGAAAGACGATTTCCTGTCGAAGATCCCGGAGTGTTTTCTGATGGACAGGATTAATGTTATAAGATGTAGAAGTTAATTTACCCACCTGTCCAGGTAGGCCTGTCACTCTTCATTTGAAACCGTTGAACGTGATTGCCCAATGACCTTTTGAGTCGCTTCGTGAAGGTAGACTCCAAATCGGATAGCTTGGCAGCGCCATTGGTGTTCCAAGTAGCGAAAAGGTCTACATGTGCAGACAGTGAGACACTGAATTGCATACTTACCCAATTTGACTATAAACTTCCGACTGACTGAGGCACATTGTAAACCATGTGTTTGACATCGAATAAATTTGAAAATTTTCGGCTGAACAAGTTTAACAACGGCGCACAATAACCTACACTGCTCTGAGCCGTAACTGGTTTTGTTAGTAAACTCAGCGACAGCGAAATGTCACTATACAGCGGTTGCGCCAAATATGGCTGTCCTTGTGAATTTTCTACTCAACTATTCATTTTCAACCTACGAACGACTTTTCCCCCATCCTCGTATAAACACCCCAAATTCTACCACTTCCCAAAACGAATTTAGGCCGAAGTTATTTTAATGAATTTGTTTTTGTGTCCTTGTTGTAAAAAGTTTGAGAGAAATCTATATTTAATGGGGTCTCCGCGTATTGTTATCCGACAGGGTCGATGATGGGCATGATGCGCCAGGATTGGTGCTAAACGAAGTAAGCATTTTCAAAGAATAGTGGGACTACCTGCCAGTCTCATCCAAAATGGAATCCGACCTAGTACGCGGCTTCCGGAGGGCAACCAGGGATCTTTTGAGACGCCTTGTGAGGGCGCCCTTCAGTTGACAAACTTCAACACGACAGTCTTTGTTTCGAATGGCGTATACCTCTATTTTGCAATATATCACATAGGTAGGCAACAACGTCCACTTTATCCCATAGTGTTCGTAGATCACTAATTTTGATCTCTGTGGCTGTAGGGCTCGCGAGCACTGTCCAAATTGAGGACGGGATTGATAATGGCAATGAGCGGCCGTCTATAATTTTCAGTAAAACGTACGAGTTGTCACGGGGAAAGGAAGCATACTTAGAAAAAAACAAAGGTAAGTTCGCACGACTGATTACACCTGAAAAGTCAGTGTATCGATCTTTAAGGTCGAAGATTCCACAACAAAGAAAGTAGTCAGACACATTTATGAACTCGCTATATACTACCCGGACACCCCCTGCACTGTCAAAATGTCCTTCACACATACTGTCTTCTCACCAAGACTGATGCGTCTATTTGATGTTAAGGTGTCCACTTGGAATCGTCCACCGCTTATACGTCCAAAATGTTCACGTACACCAAGCCCTTTGGGCAGTGGACCTCTGCTATGTGTATGCAGAAGCCTAACTTTGTGGCCATTGCGTGGGCTGCCAACTTATATGTCCATCTCACTAAGTCGCCGAGGGCATGGATGGACTTCTCATCAGTTTCTTCCGTCCACCGAGATAACTCGCGAAGGGAAAAGCAGATAAGCAGTTTAAGATTCCATGACGTTCGGCAACGGACTATCAGTTTGCTGTAGTTTTGTAAGAATTTCCACCGGCGAGTCCAGAAGATAAACGGACTGGCACGTATTTCTTTAACAGTTTATACATCGCTCAGCGTAGTAACGTGGTACTATCGTAACTGGGTCGGTAGTTACACACATGATGATCTACCAAGTTCGCGAAAGTTAGGGCAAAATGTTAAAGGAAGCATGCATAATGTAAAGAACGGCAATACGGAGAACCTAACTCATCCCGAGATGCCAGTTGTAGGGCTAGTGCAGCTATGATCATGCCTAACCTCAACGATTTCGTGAATTATACCTCTCCCCGAGTGCCGATCTGCGGCAGCGAGTCTGGGGAGTTTAACCTATTTTGTTCTTCAACGAGGGTGACAGAACACCGAAGATCTAAGGACTACGTACATGTCTTTGCAAACTGTCGTACTTCGACGCCTCCAGGTAGGCAGCTGCGCCTGATCTAGGCCACTAACAATGAAGCCATGTGGAGGAAAACGAAGAACGTGCTTAAGCCACCTCACCCACCGTTATTGGACAGCCTGTGATATCCTCGTGATGTTGTTTCAACGCTTGCAAACTGTCGCATTCAAGGCCAATTTAGTGTACTTCGCTTAGGCATCGGTAGTCAATCACTTCCAGCTGTCCATCTTCCACGCGCACAGCCTAACACTCATAAACCCACGCCATTACTATTTATGCTTGATGCAACTGTAGTCTTGATCTATATGATGTTACGGATTGTGAGTGTCCATGCGGGACAGTCTGCGGCGGACAATCTTTGGAGCTGAATTTACTGTCTCCGCGCGACAAATACTGAAAACCAAGGATTCCACAACCGCTATGTCCCGATGAAGTGTGATGACTCAGGTGTTGAATCGACCTCTTCAACGCCTTCGGGTGGACAATAGTGTCAGATGAGATACGACAAAATTAAATTCTTTGAGCGGACAACAAGGGAAAATCTCAAGTCATTTCAGTCGCCCTTCTTGGATGGCGTGAGAGATCCTCTCGATGTTGCCGCGAACGCGAATCGTTTCATCCGAGATTTTCCATGTAGTTCGCTCAAAGGATGGTTCTAGGACAGCGGTTTTCAAATACCTCTGATTTCTCTCTCCTTCCCACTGCCCGACACTCACAGTCGTATAGGACTGACTGGACGCATACCAGGTACAGGCGAATTTTTGTGGCCTAGAGATGCCCTGTTGGGTTCATGTACACTTACTAAGGACTGTGAAAACTCCGCAAGCAGCGTCGATTCGAGGGATAATGTCTTTCCGACCGTGTCCACTCACCAGCAGCCTCGCCCGAGATAGTTGAAACTCTACTTCTTCAAGCCACCGACCTTTAATCTCAAGGGCTGTCATCTCCTGGTAAGGGATGTGGCTTCGAACCATTTTAGTCCTGCCAGCTTTTATGGATAAACAGACCGATTTGTCTGCACCATTCACCCGCGTCAGCACAGTTTGCAGGTCAGCAAGACAACATCAGCGTAGTCGAGATCAGCCAGCGGGCACCCTGGTGCAAATTCAGCACCGAAAAATCGTGTAGGACCCTTACGTAAATACGGTCACTGTCGTAGTTGGGGGGAATTTGAAACAGAATACATTTGTCAAACGCCAAGCTGAATATCGGGAAGGGATATCGGAATATCTGAGAAGGATTTATGTGGGCCACAACTCGTGTTGTAGGGCTGCGATAATACGTAGACCTTAATCACGACGAGGATTTTTCCCGGCCCACCGTATTATCCCATTATTCGTCGCAGTAGCTCACAAAGGGCAGGGACGAAATGAACAAGGTAGATGACCGTCGATTGCTGGTAGCGATGGCCAAGTTCAAGAATACGCCGGAATGTAAGTATCTGGTCGGTACATCCCCTTCATGTTCGAAACCCGGCTTTATTGGGTTTCATCCTCGGCTCATGTACACTGAAGTCGCCTGATGATGGCAACAGTGAAGACCTTTGTAACAACGTCGATGAGGCTTATGCCCCGACAGTTCTCACACTTTGTCTTATCTCCCCAGTCACCACAAACGAACTCGCCTCCCCACCGTTGTCAACAGTGGGGATTTCGTCCTCTTTGGATGGACTGTTTGAAGACTCTCCAGACTCAGTATAGTCACCGCGGTTCTCGTCAACAATTAGATCGCGGTAAGAGAGTCTTCCAGCGAATTCTTGCAGTTGTGAAAAGAGGGTTCCTTTGTCGCACTGGCCGGCAGCCGATGTTGGCGCGTACACAAATATGACCCTCCACACACACAGAGAGAGACGGGGCATGGTTTTGTTGCGGGAGAGCGATCCGTACAGCGTATCTATCAGAAGAGTCGTGTGGGGAGCTGTGGTGTAGGGTAAAGTGGGAGTGGTCTTACTGGACAACTGAGTCTAAGATTCGGACTTCAGGAGGGGATCAGACGTTAACATGCTACAAGTGAAGACTGTGCCACCGGACTTTGGGTACCAGGGTTCAGGAACGTTCGCGCAGTCCAGCATTCAATGTCGAATCTGTTCTCGATTGGGTAGTACAGACCACATGCTGGTATCCCGCACCACTGGGCCGGGGTTCCAAAGCGCGCCGGTTTCTGTGGATGTCGTAGCATGGATCGTAATACTTATGTCGGACATTTCCATAAAGGCCCTTAGGACTTTTATGCGCAGACGAGTTGTTCGGATCGTTTCTTCGAGGTTGTCTGCTCCAGTTCTGTGGCTCAAGAACCTGACCACAAGACGACCTTGGAGAGCAGACTTATTTGATGGTGGTTTACGATCGCCATGTCATGTGGCATCAGGCGTGCCACACCTCAGCCTTCAGCGTCCCAACAACACAATTGATGCTGTTCCACGACCGCTTGTTCATCAGACCAGTGAGTCGGCTTATTTCGCAGCTGACCTTTGCTGACGGCCGTTCCATTATCCGCCACCTGTGGACTCTCCGGGTATTTGGCAGCCGGACTATCGGGTAACTCGTCTTCGGAGCTGTCAGCAAGCACCCGGCTGGTGGGTTTTGGGCCGTGCGGACTGTTGGGTCTGCTTGACGTTTGCTGCGCCCACGCGACCGATTTGTGTAGACAAGGTTTCGACGCGTCTTCTACTGCAATTGGATGCTGCCATTCTGGCCTACAGTAGCTCATCATTTGACGTACGCTTCGAAGGTCTTCTTGCCTTCCATGCGGTTGCCAAAACCAAACAACTGTTCGGGAACGAAGACGTTCACAACCTTACTATTTCCTTTTCCAAACCATGCTTTAAGATGCTATTTCACTGTATATTCAGACGCCGACTCGTTCAATCTCTGTCAAACCATCGAGATAGATTAGGGGTGTCGGCTTGTACTTTTCTTGAGTGCGCAGGACTCGAGTAGCTAAGAGCAATAAGGCTAGATGTCGCTGTCAGTTACCTCGATTAGCCGTCCTGAAACGGTCTCGTTAAGGTAGTTCTCGAACCAATTTTCCAGAGATCCTGTTAATTTGCCCGCCAGGACTGCTTGTGCTTTAGGAACAGTGAAATCCCTATATTGATCTTGTCTCCCAGGACAATGTACTGAACGACTTGCTCACATTGGATGACCGCTATTGCTGTGTGCCAGTGACTTACCTCTAATGTTGTTTTCTGTTTTAGTTTGGAAGCTGCTATCACCCGTTTAACCTCAAGGTTCTTCATAAGTGCAGAATTCTTCCTTTGGGCAAGTCTACTATCTGCCTTCTGACGAAAATAGCACCATGTCACGCTCTCTCATAGAGAAACATGGCCCTTCATCCAAAGTCCCAGGTCGTATTTGCGGGGCTTGACATCTCCTTCAACTGTTGTCACTTAATGTTTCATGTTTCCTTCTCAGATTAGCTTGTTCTCCAAGACCGTTTGCTTCTGATATAAGTGGACACGCAGCAGCTCGTATTTACTGTTTATTGAAACTTCGATGATTTGAACGTGTGGTTTCTGTCGTACTCACACGAACTCTGTGGTCTACGTAGAGCACAGTTCCACCTTATCCAAGCCATTACTGCGCCAGTAATAACAGAGCTGCTCTAATAAAGAGGGAGCTACTTCATATAATTGACGTTCTTATCTTTCGAGGCCACCAAACATAATATCATCTGACCGATATCGTCTTAGCGTTCCGTTCTAACGATTCCTCATTGTTCTAATGTTACTGACCGTATTTCAGTAACACTGGCGTCTTATTGTATAATTATCCCGAGTCCAGTCAATGTGAATGTTGGCTCCAAGTCGTCTCCCTCAGAAACTGAGATCACACCAATATTCTGCAGCACAGTTGTTCAGAGACTGACCACTGGACAACAGATTTGTCGGTAATATCATTCTGCTTATATCATACGCCGCTGTGCGGCTGCCGGTTGGGCACGAGAGAGAGTCCATAATGCACAACGGAACGAGTGAGTTCCGTAAGAACGATCGGTGAGCGCCCCCTACCACATTTAATAATGTTAACAATTCGTTATCTGACCGGTTTTCGGAAGAAATATGCAGCTGTTTGATGTTTCTAATTTCAAATTTCTGATACAATTTCCTTCCATGTAACAAGCAGGCATTTCAAAGGTTCAACACGTACGTTTCCCTCCAATAAATTAAACTAAACTGAAAAGGAAACTGAATGCTCCCCACTTGTTTCAACCCAACTCTATTAAAAACCTTTCTCAACTCATGGCATTCTGTCTTACACCTAAATGACTTATATTCTTCTTAAAGCAGTTCTAAATTTCATCCTGTCTCACTAAAGCCCGCTTTCTGTTTTTAGATCTGAATTCACGCACGCCTACCACAACCACACTCACGGCTGATAAAACAAATGGTCTGTTGTTGTTGGTTTTATTTGTGTTTGGCCGTATTTCCCCTGCTTATCTCCAGGTACTGACTAATCGGAAGTAAACTTGATCTCTGGGATAAGCAGTTTGTTTGTTCGGTGTTTTGGAGTCACGCTCGCAAGTCTCTGCGTAGGCGGTGCCAGGACAAAATATTGAGGGGGAGGGGGGTCATTGCGTTTGTCAGACAACTGAGAACCGGAGAACCATGACTCAAGGAGTTCGCGGCTCACGCGGTTGTCACCTCTTGCGAGAATTTCGGCCGTACTAAACTTTAAGCTGTGGCCGGACCCCGTCGAATAAGCCGCGACCTGAGAGCTATTGTCCTTTCTCCTTACTGCCGCCGCATTTTCGGCCATCCGCGTCCGAAGAAATCTCTTAGTTTCTCTGACGTATTTGCTTTGTTTGCAGCCGCACCAGACTCCGTAAACGACTCCAGACGTTTCCTAGCATTACAGTGGATCTTTCGGTCTCATTACTTGGCGCCCGATAGTTGCAGGGGTAACAACTGCGTAAGACGCGAACTCCTTGAGTCATGGTTCTCCGGCCCGCAGTCGTCTAACAAACGCAATGACCCCCCCCCCCGCCTCAATATTTTGTCCTAGCACTGCCTACGCAGAGTAGTTAGCCACGCGGGAAGGGTGCAGGCGACCAACAGTCCCGGCGACAACGGGCCAAATTGCCGATTAATTATTACGCCAATAATAAACAACGGTAACTAAATTGCGAAAGCTAACGAATGGTGGCGGACCAACAGGCAATGATCACATCAAATACGGGCCCAAACGATGAACGCGAGAGCCGTTAGATATAGTAGGTATATAGTGAGATGGCAACTGCGCCCTGCAAATATTACACTTATTGTCCCTCCACCAGCCTTACTTGCAGCTGTCTCTGATGATGGATTCGAGAGAGAATCCGAAGCGCCAGACCAATAAGCTTCTTGTTCCAGCGATCACATTTTTTTCTGGACTGCATCCTGGAACTTACCTCTTTGCTTCTGGCGTCAATTGCGTCGATTAATGACGCGGATGTGACCGACCAACTAATTGCGGTCTCGATTGGAAACATCCGTAGTGAATGTGAGGTCATTTAACTCTATTAGGGATGTGATTGTTTGGGGTATGTCTGTAAGCACTGCACAACCTGTGTCCGCTACTTCCATTTGTTGCTGTTTCAGATGACGGATTTCAGCATCAATTTGGGATGGGATGCGAATACAGTTACTGGTCCAGCGACCGAGTTTACTTCTCAACCAATCTTTCGAACTAGCGCTTTTGCCTTGATCGTAAAAAATTCTCGTCTTTCTTTCCCAAGGTTTGTCTGGGCTTTTAGCTAATACCTGTGTTGTTAGTATGGTAAATCATCGCACAATTCTATACTACTGGCTGTCTGTTGGCGGGTTGTGAATATTAAGCGGTTATTCCGCAGTAGCTGATGGATTTCAGCTCAAATATTCATCTCAAATTTCGGACCGTGCCTGAAAAGGTCCGTTTCGAAAGAATTACTCCAAGTTCGCGCATTACTTTCCTTGGACATTAAACAAGGCAATAAGAAACTGTGCTTATCTAGAAATTCCACACTGCCTTTCGCGGCTACCCTTCCTGCGGACGTAGAAGGACGCGCATTCTCTTTGGCCTGATCTCTGTGTGCTCATGCCGAAAAGTCAGTAGTCAGAATATGGTTATTCGAAAGCGTATGTACGCCGCGTCGTAGTCAGAAGTCCACAGCACAGAATGGGTTTCAATATATACGCAGTCAAGCGAATCACTAACACCTGTTTAACACTAGGCTCAGGCAAAACTAATGAGATTTGCCGCGTCATTGTCCTCAGAACGCATATGCCAATGAACCTTTTCTGACAGACTGCTGAGTTAAACGGCTTATCGGAAATCGGATGGTTGCGCGGTCGGCGACCACGTCCAGCTGTCCTCACTTGCAGGAATGTCCTTGGCGCATGGTGGACGCGTCGGGTTTATCTTAATGTGGCTAACTGACAGAGTTCCCTCCTCACTCCATCTCTGTATTTCTGACTTTCTACTGTTAATATCCCTTTCGCATGATCATCTGGACTAATCAGTCTCCCTTCCTCAATTCCGCCCTTTCACTTTAGCAGTACTCCTGACCAGAACGGCCTAATGTTTTTGTAGATAAGAAGGACCATTGCCACAAGGTCACCTCCAAGGAACCCTTAGTGGCCGTCTGGCGCCCGCTAGAATTGTGGTGCCCCATCTGCCAGGAAAACGTGACAACTAAGACCATTTTTAAAAGCGGGGCTTGTACCTGGTTGGCTTGCACCGCTACGTTTTTCCTTGGGTAAGGTTTTTTTTTGCATTAATTTCCCTCCCTATCAACGGCTCTTATTCACTATCCTGTATCTTTGTTTGCTAGTAGTACGTCCAAGATCGCCCTCTGAACCTAAACTAACTTCATGGCCTTACTCCTGCCAGCATGCGTGTAGAAACTGGTGTTCAGAGAGGCAGTACTTCTGCCTATTTGTTCCAGCCAGCTTGTCGCTCGTCCCAAGAATGCGCTTAGTAGATTTGAATGTAGCTGTCGCCTGTGATTTGTCCTAAAACGCGACCACTGACGTTTATCATTTTTAAAATTTGTGACGATTTCGAGTCATTTCAGTTGCCATTGTTGATGTTGAGACAGCTCTAGCCCTTTTCTTCATTGAGCCCGTCCATGTTCGCAGCTGTTCGCCTCAAATTTGACAAGTATGTTGCATTTAAGGCAGGTCAGTGCGATTATTATCGAGATCGGCAGAAGACACAACTAAGCCAAGGATCCGCCATTTGCCTTTGAATCTAGGCATTCTTATGCATCAAGTCGTAATGGTGCCACCAGGTCGCGTAGGTAAAGGCATGACTGCGTGCACCATCGGTCAAAAATTTCCGGTTTATACCGCGTACATCCCAGGCTTATAGACTGTTCCCCTATATGACCCTTAAACCCGAAATACAAGTCTTCACAGTAGAATAAAAACCATACGAGAAAACTTGAAGTACACGTGTTTTAATGCACTCTAGCCTATGTAACCTCCCCAGCATAGTTCACAACCTCAATCCTGGATCTGAGCTTCTTGCAGCTGTTTTTGATGCACCCACAGATATTGAATTAGACCTCTGACGGAGGGCTTCAAAGCGTTGAAGTTGGTGTGGTCAAATTCGCTAGCCTTAGCCTGAACAAACGCCTAAGTTACAAAATCTAAGGGATAAGTTCCAAGAAGCTTAGGAGCCAAAGCTCCTGACCAAATGATATGTTTTGCAGACAGCTTCTGCACAAACTTTGGGTCTGCCAAGGACCCCGTCACACATCGTGACCACGTTGGAATTGACCAGGAAGTTGGCCTGGATCCTGGACTTCGCTCTGTCCCAAGTATTATTTTCTTCTCACTCGAACTTTTTCTTGAAGATGGGATGGCGTTTTAAGACTGCATGAGGCTAGGCAACCCTACACGATCAATTAGGAGGGATGGCTGGATTTTTCTGCAGTCTTGCTGTGTTCAGGACCATCCTGCGAGCGCGGAGTTCTTACTGTCGACCGTGAACGAACATTTCCCATCCTTGCAGTGAGCAAACGCTTAGGCCTGAAACCTCTATGGTGGTCCGCTCTTGTTTTGTTTCATTTTCCCTGACAATAACCTCACTTGTCTTGAGCCCCTTGGGCACTCTCCTCCTGAACTTCTCTTGATTCGACCAACATATGAGATGTTCACGGAACTGTTCCTGTCTAACTCATTATCTTCGATTGATGTGTCCCGACACCCGCGGCCGTTTCTTCTGCACTAAGTCGACTGCTTCAGCATGCTGTCCGGAAGGGACAGTCGCGTGGAAGGAGGCTACGATCCCCTCTCATAGCTTCCCCAATGACGTGCAAGGCTGGATCCTTACAGATGTCATCTTAATTTAGCTGTCAAACTTATTTTAAAAGCAGAAAAGTTGAACGCAGCCGGACCTCTTTTTAAGGTTAATCTAAATGCTTGGCATAGACCTGCAACGTGTCCTCATGTGTCCTTTGATGATGTCAAACGTCGGCCTTTACTCCGGGGGGAGGGGGTGTGCCACTGGCACATGCGATACGTCCGATGTCCCCTTGGTGCGACCGGTGCATTAACACCTGTCAACAGCTCCGTACTTCGTATTTCCTTTGGGGCACTGTCTTTGCTAGATAAGACTGCAAACTACAGAGGTTGGAACTTGGTTTTTGTTTTGGCGCCGAGGTTTTGGTCTCGCTTCATTCTTCTGCTGCGGATCCAATTGTATGCAGAACTCTGCCCCACCAATCTAGCAACCCCTAAGCTTCCACCGTTGTTCGATTTATATTTTAGCGGGTGCTTTGGCTGCTGCCTCATTCCATTCTGTTTGGACTCTTGCAAGGATGTTTTTCACAGGTGTCCAAATTGCAACTTCACCATGGAGTCTTTTAAACGCATTAAATGATGGCCTCCACCTCGCCTAGCTGTCTTTCAGCATCCTGTTCCCCCGCTCTTTACCACAATCATGTTTGTGTCAGTAGGTATTCCCGGTTTCCAGACTTACACCAAATTCATTTTGCGTACCACACAGTCTACGCGTTTGTATTTCGTCATTATTATGCTAATTTTCCAATTTTTTTTCTTGAACAGAACGTACATATTGCCTTGTCTTTGCTATATACGCTATCACCTTACTGCTTTTTCAGGTATTGCTTGCCTACTTTTGCTTAACTGAGCAATAAAATCTTCACACGGCCATGCTATAACCTTATTGTTTCAAGCACACTCCTCACTTATATGCGCGTTCCTAAAGATCGTTCGGGTTCCAGAGATGTCGTTTTATACTCTCCTCCCCCATAACTCTGTCCCTCTAAATGACTGTCGCGTTCGATCTCAAAGGCAGAGATTGAAAACGTGAAGCTAATAAGACAGGCTTTGCTAGACAAGAGTGCACAAACGACCAGTGACATGGGTGTACGAGAGTCATAGACGAAGTTTTGGCTCACATAAAGGGATGCACCAGTTGGGGTCTCCTGTTCAGTCACCACAGAAATAATTTTAGACGGTGCAGTGGTCAGGCGCATGCCAAGGACGTCGGAAGACTTGTCTGCTACTAAGGAGTTGGAGACCAAGAAACCTGTGGAGGGGATATGTGTACGAAAGAACCTTCCTGTTGACAACAGACCGAGCATGGAGTCTCCGGTGAGTTACAAAAGGTACATTACAAAGACTAGAGTGTGTGTCAGCTTGGGAGGCCTGTGTAACGGCTGCACTCCCTTGCTCTGTTATAGTCCATTCGGGTTGCTGCAGTCGCTTCGCCTGCGGCTTTATTCTGTCTTAATTGGGATAGATCTTCAGGGGTAAACATTGTCTTCACACGGCCTGCATTACTGCCAAATTTTCCGCTCTTGTGGACATCCAACTCTTGCCTTTCCTGACGCCACCGCCTTGTTCTGCACACGCCAAAGCGACGTATCCGGGAGTGGGTGTGGCTGTCCGAGCGGCCACACCACAGTTGGACCAGCGTAGGGTCGGACGAGTTTGCCCGCAGAGCTCGTTATCCGCTTAGGTTAATACGACATTCGGTCAGTTTCGCTGGCGCTCTTCTCCTCTCCCACAACTCCGGCCGGCTTGGCCGCTTCTTGGGGGACTCCAGCCAACCCTTTAATTTCCATCAGAGCTTTATTCGGCTGCCTGGGTTGGGCTTATATTTGGCACCGACCTAACCCGCCGTAGTCGCGCCTGGAGGTTCATGCCAAACCCGCTCGTTAAATAAAAGAGGCATGGCTTACTGACTATGACAATGCTAAATATGCAACCTCGATAGCTGTGATTCCGTGTTAAGGTTCGTGTTCGATGCTGCAGCTGTTGTATTGCACACCCATGCGGGGGGCGTTTTGTTTTAAGTGGAGTCAAGATTGCATCTAAGCATCCTCTCGGGCTGCATATCATGGTCTTAAATTGAGATGATCCGTGTATGGTCGGCTTACCGTGTGCGACCCAAAATCCTGACTAGATACCTTTGAGAAGGAACAAAAAAGGATATGACGCTTCAGACAGGAAATCTGCCATTACAACCGCAGACTCCTGAGGCGTGCATCGAACGCTGGTTTCCCTGTTACGTGCACTCCCTCCCTTCTGCAAGTTTGGCCTTAAATAATACGCAGTTGGATTGTTGCTTTTGTTCTTTTATGCCTTGGTCGACGGCACTGGAGGGAGATGTGGGTTTGGAGGGCTTAAAACTTCAAGCGAGTGTCAAGTCAAGGCCCTCCTTGTCCTGGTTTTTGCGGCCGAAATAGGCAAGAAACACTAAAACCTCATTCTCTCCCTTCGACGATCTGCGCTAAACAATACCCTCCTGGAGGTCCGTAGCGAGTGCACGCAAACAGCAGGAACTCCGTGAAAATGAACAATAACGTAAATCTCGCAGTGGTAAATTGTCTGTGTCCCACCTTCACGCCATTTGGTGCGGCCCTACATTTCGAGATAAAAACATAAAACACTTCAGCACCGAGCGGTGAGGGGATGCACACGCGGGACGTTTTCCACTGAAAATTAGAAAGCGATCGTTTAGACCAGCTTATTAGGACGAACTTGAGGCAATCATCTGAGCTGGGGTGACAACGGAAAAAGGACTTTAAGTTAAGAATCAGACAATAAAACGACCATCCCAAATTCCTGTGAACGGCCGTTGAAGGACCAACACACCACAGCGGTCGTTTAAGTAGCTTGATACAGGCGGATTTTCTTGTTCTTTTAGATCACCAGCCGATCTAATACTGCGTCGCAACCCGCAACGATTATACAGGTAGGATGTGCGGACAGATAGGTCGACGTCCTCAGTTAGTTTCGAGTCCAAATCATTTTAACTCCTGTGGCCCTTTAAATACCTGCGTGCTCCAGTACGGCTATCAGTGTATTGACATTCGGCGGGCTCCAACCGTAGATATGATACAATACCTAAAATCCCACGTACGGGACGCCCTGATGACGCAAAACTCCAACAACCCAGCACCGGCGAGGCTCTGAGCACAGAAACCCGATCCCATTTTACGACCCGGGCTGAGGGACAAGGCAGTGGCCAATGGTCATCACTGACGACACTGTTCTATGGGGCGGCTGATAAAATTCTTTGATTTACTCACCGACGACATGGTGGCTGGATCAGCGAGAGAGCCCTGCAGCTGTCTGCCTAGACGGCTTGAGCCAGGTCCCGCAACGATGCTCCATTCCACCAACCCCTCCCCTCTCCCCCCCTCCCGAAAATGACAGCGGTCGGTTAAAGACTATCGGTAGAAATACTGGACTGAAATAGCGGCCTCAATAATCCAGGCCTCTGACATTGGTAGCAATCGAAAACTCTGCCAAACTACCCACCAAGTTGCTGGTAAACCCTCGACAATTAGTGACTGTTCGTGATGTGAATGGCGGCTTTATTGCTGACAATTAGACCAGGGCCGATCAATAGTGGGAGCACACCGAGCACCTCAGCTTTGATGAATAATCCGTCACGCCCTCGCTCTTCTCGGTAGCGGAGTTTTACCCCTCTCCAGCCTATGCAGTGTCATACGATCCCCTTATGAGTGGAAGTTGCCCAAGCAAAATAGAGGCCGTACAACAACAAGACACCCGGAGACGACAGTATTTCCACTAAGTCTACAGGTATCAACACCGGCGCTCCGGTTACATGGTGTAATTGGACAGGCGTGGAGAGATAAGGTCATTCCCGATGACTGGAGGTAACGCACCGTTGTGCTTCTCTTCAAAAAGGGAGATAAGACAAAGTGCCAGACCTACACGACATAAGCCTCATCGACGTTGTAGCAAGGGTCTTCGCTGTCGTCCTCAGGCGATTTCAGACTGTACGACTCTAGGACGGAGTCCAACCATGTCGGGTTCCGAGATAGGCGTGGACGCGCGGACCAGATATTCACATTCAGGCGCATCCTGGTATTCCGCCGTGGTTACCAACAACCGACGACCGTTTACTTTGCTGACTTTGTCACTGCGCTCGACTCCGTGCATCGTGGGTCTTTGTAGCGGATAATGGCACTTGACGGTGTACAGTCGAAAATCAGCGTCATGATCAAGGCCTACTACCGCTCCACCACTGCGAAAGTTCCGGTTCACAACAATCTTTCCCAACCGTTCGGTATTCGGTCTGGCGTTCGACAGGGTTGTGTCCTGTCGCCCAATCTGTTCAAATGCGCTATTGACTAGAGTCTCGGGGGGGGGCCCTATACGAAGATGAAGATGTTGAGTTTGCACCCGGACACTGACTGACTGATCCCGGCTTTGCCGATGATACCGTCCTACAAACTTTAGGTTTTGGTGATCTGCAGTCTACGGTGTCCCAGGTGAACAAGGTCGTTAAATCGATCGGCTTACCCATAAACACAGGGAAAACCAAAGTGTTTTTCAGCTGCATCCCTGACCAGGAGAAAGCACCTCTAGGGATTTATGGCTGTCAACTTTAGAAAGTAGACAGTCTTAAATATCTCGAGCGGAGGCTGCTGCCGGGTGGGCAGAGTAAGGACGACATTGCCTCCCGAATTGACGCTACCAGTCAGGTTTTCTACAGCCTATGGATCCGACGCGACATCTTCATCACCACTAAGATTCGTATGTACCGTGCATCCGCCCAGTCTGTCCTTCTGCACGGTTGTGAATGTTGGGCTGTGCGCATGGAGGAGGAGCGAAAACTGGAGGTATTTGACCACTTTTGCATGAGGACCATCCTCCGAGTGAAGTACACCGACTTCGTCTCAAATGAGACAGTCCGCACTCGCTGCGACATCGCAAGGGTAACCCAGGCCATCCAAGAAAGACGACTGAGGTGGTTTGGGCTTGTTCTTCGTCGTCCACCTCAGGAGCTCAGTGTTACTGCCCTCGATCCGGTACCGTTACCTCATCGGAGGTGTCGAAGAGGACGTCAACTCAACACCTGACTCGACACAGTTCGTCAAGATATGAAGGTGGTTCTTAGACCTTCGGTATTTGGTCCCCGTCGTTTGCGAGGAGAGCGGACTGAACTGTTCAGATCTGCTCCCGCGGATCGCCGCGCGTGGTGAGGTGCAGCTCGGGACATCATTGAAGCCGACTAGATCAGGCAGCCGTACTAGCTACAAGTCAGCAGTACGTAGTGGAATCCGTACGAAAATGGAAGCATTTCTTCTGTAACTACTTTAAACTCGTCGCGGATCGGCGTCCTGCTACCTTTATTTTCGGCAATCAGCAAAAAGGAAAGGTCGAAGAAGATGAGATCGAATGCTAGAGGTTGGATCTGTCAGCATTCAAACTTAACATCGTTTACCGACCTGGAAAAGAAAATCAAGCGGCGGATACGCCTTCACGTATATACTGTGGGGCCCTACTAATTAGTCGATCTGAAAGAACTACATGAGTGACTGTCACCCCGTCTTTCGGCTGTTGCACTTTGTTCGAGCTTGGAATCTCCCCTTTTGA